AAAAAAAAAAAAAAAAAAAGAAGATACAAACTAAATAAGAAAAGAAATGAGTCTCCGAAAATCTATATATATACTCAAAACCTTCCCCTGAGATCTCATTTCATTAGAAGTTAGCCATCGGAGTCATTTCTTGGTCTGGCTAGAGAAATGACACACGAGACAGAAGAAAAGGAAAGAGGCAAATGCTCATTCTTCTGGTGCCTTAAGATTATACACATTTTAACTAAGGACAAATCTTAACTTCTCCTCTACCTTCTTTTCCCATTCCTACTAGCTCTGTTCATGGTGGAACATAGGTGATTAAGGAGTATCAGAGACACGCAGTCAAAACTTTCTTATTGACTTGGGTCAATTGAGTTACAGCCTAAGAAACACACTTCACAGTTTCCTAAAGCATTAATAAGCTTAGAAGCAAAATCAAGTTAAATACAAATTGCTAGCAAAGATTCCTCTTCCTGCATGATTCCTACCCATAAAAAAGGATAACATTTTTTAATGGTTTGCTATGGACAGGTAAATGATGAAGATGAATCATCTCAGGGGTACGCAAGTGCGCAGCAGCACTCCTGGCAGGTGGACACATCACAGGTGTTTCATTTAAGTGGACATTTAGGTGACATCAATTAACACGTGTATTGATTCCAACTCTGTTCACTTTCTCAGCCTACTTCAACCTTAAAAACACATCTACCTGTCCCTGCCTTGGTCTTCAGGAAACTAGGATCTGATTGATTTGGCAAAGAAAATGGGTTACAAGTTACAATCATATTTTGCTACTCTCGACACCCTCTAGACCAATGCTATTCAGTAGAACTTTCTGCAACGATGAAAATATTCTCTATCTGCATTATCCAAATATGGCGGCCACCAGCCACACGTAGCTATTGAGCACTTGATATGTAGCTAGTGCAACTGAGGAACTGAATTTTAATTCATTTTCATTTAAATAGTCACACATGGCGAAAGCTATCCTATGGGAAAGAGGAGCTCTAGAGTCTATCCCAGTTACCCTGTGCCCCAGAAAGAGGGAGAAAAAGTTGGGATCAGACTCTGAATTCAATCCTGGGAAGTGGTCCCGGTTCTGCCTCATAATACAAGTCACTCTCTTACGCCACTCTAGCCAGCCAAGGTCAATGTTCACAGAAGGGGTTTCTCTCCCTGCTCTCTAACCATGACCAACTATTTGTGGTCTGTCTGCTCACTGGTTTTGGAATCTTCAATAGCTGTTCCCGCTTTTAGGCTCCTATCCATTCTATCTGCCCTTTTCTTTCCAAAACTTTCCAGTGCTTTTGTTTTTTCCTGCCCCTTTCCTTACTTCTAGTTCTGTTCGTTTCCTGTCCATCATAAAATCAACATCCACGAAACTGAGTTTACATAAAAACGTCTTTCATAACACCAGAGACAACTGCAAATACACATTAACTGTCCAGCGGATGGACTGTTCAAGGCAAAAAATTATCACCAGTTTGTATACATGAAGATCTATATGGTACAGATGGATTAAATAGATAGTATAATTAATGGATGCATTACAATAAGAATATTTTAAAAGGAGACTATATTGAGACTAAAGGTATTTTAGTACAACTCAAAACCCTCCCCAACCCAGACAAGGCACATCCATTTGAGAATCCTCCCGTGACCCTGCTGTCAAATGCGTTCACCAGCACTCTACTGCACAAAACATGTCCAGAATGAGTCTGAGGTCAAAACTTTGTCTACAAAGGAAATTAGAAGGAAATCGTAGGAGATAAAACACAGCTTTAGGTTCTGGCATTTGTCCAGCTTTGTTCCTTTTGGTGTAATATTCTAAGAGGTACGGAAGGGGAAAAGCACAGAGAGGCAGCTGTTATGTGTGTTACCCATGTGCACATGGGCCTCTAGTCCATCTTTCTTCCTCACCTCTCATACTGTGGCTTTCACAGGAATTCACCTGTCCTCAAAGTCCTACCACAAAGTGAAAGAGATGATTCAAAATAGCAGAAAAGACCAAAAAGCGATGCTTCCAGAAAGCATCATAAAAGTAAACTCAAACATGTTTTACCGTACGAAAAACATACAGTTTTAATAATAAATAGGACTCTTAGACACCTTCTGGGCAGTGCAAAACACTTACACGTTAGTACATGGCCACATCTAGGGAAATGATGGGGAAAACAGAACCACCGTTTCCCTGGAGGGCACAGAGTGAGGAGAGTGTAGCAGAGACAGGATTAGAATGCAAAAAGCCTGCCTCCCAGACCAACGCTCACACCACTTGGCCACAGCGTCTGCCTTGTGGCAGCTCATTTATCAACCACAAATAATTTCCCCATTACTTTCCTAAACAAGAGCAGCACATCTCAGAGCAGAAGACAAGGCTCTGTCCATTTTAAGAAGAAGAATACACACAATGCAGTAAGTGTTATATAATCAACAGAACGCAGACCAGCAATGGCAAAATAATTGGGAGCACATTCTTTCCCAGCATTCTCAGTGATGTAATTGTATATAGCCCTGGCTCAGGTTCATAGCATTACTAAGCCAGCCTGAATGCTGCCAAGTTTGTCCAAATCCTGACAGTTAGGGAAACTGCATCCTTAGCATGGCACCAGGACAGACAGACGTGGATCCTGCCCTATGCCAACCAGTTTATAAACACAATGCCCTTACAGGTGTTATTAGCCCACTCCTGAAAGAGCTACTCACGCAGCCACAGGTGTGATGCAAGAGTTAGAACGTGGAAAAATTTAACTCACTCACTTTCAAGGCCAAGCTCAGCCATCTATGAAATGTAACTAAGTTGACATTATTTCCCATCTCGCCACCACTTCATAGCTTGATTCTTTCAAGCACAAACATCACTTATTTAAATATCATAAATATCTGTGAAACATAAAAGTGATTTTTAATCGTTTTTTTTTTTTGGTGAGGAAGATCAGCCCTGAGCTAACATCCATGCTAATCCTCCTCTTTTTGCTGAGGAAGACTGGCCCTGAGCTAACATCTATTGCCAATCCTCCTCCATTTTTTTTTTCCCCTTTTTTCTCCCCAAAGCCCCAGTAGATAGTTGTATGTCATAGTTGCACATCCTTCTAGTTGCTGTGTGTGGGACACCACCTCAGTGTGGCTGGACAAGCGGTGCGTCAGTGCGCGCCAGGGATCCAAACCTGGGCCGCCAGTAGCAGAGCGCACGCACTTAACTGCTCAGCCACAGGGCCGGCCCCAAAAGTGACTTTTATAGTAAGAAAAACAGACATGAAAATCACAGCCCATTTCTCATTTCAGTTTAGAAGATGACATTCTCATTCAGGACTATCTCCATCTTTTTATTCTTTATAGAAGATAAGAAAATAAGACTAACAGAGACTTTTTCTGTAACAGGCAAGATAGTAAATATTTTAGGCTTTGGCGGACCACACAGCCCTTCATCACAACTACTCAACTTTACCATTGTAGCACAAAAGCAGACACCGACAACACATAAACGAATGGGCATGGCTGTGTCTCAATAAAACTTTATTTACAAAAATAGACAGTGGGCCAGATTTAACTCACAGGCCGTCGTCTGCCAACTCTTAATTTAGAAAATGATTTCCTTTCTTCCCTTCTTATATTATCTTCACCTCATGCTTCATTCCAATGGATCATTTAAGAAAATGATAAGTTAAATCGCAAACAATGAAGATTTAAGAGAATAAGGTTCTAAAGAATGTCATCACAGTACAGATCACCTTTTTCTGAACTAACCAGTGCACAGAGAAGGTCGACAGCCTCCAACACAAGTTCCTGGTGTCCAATTCGCGTGACACCCAGCTCCTCAAGATCCTGATGGGAAATCTGCAGCAGCTGCTCTCCATTTATCTTCTCCCGTTCAAACTTGTGGACATACTGCTGAAGGCAATCATCTAACCCTACCAAAAAAGCAAAAGAGTCCATTATTGTTATTTTGTTCTTTTACTCAAAAAATTGCCCACCTTTAAATCAACTTCAGGAATCACCAATTATGCTCCGCTATTTGATTGTCTGTACAACGTGTATCCCACCTGAGGGACATCCTTCAAGTGTGTCCTCATCTTCTTATCTCAAACAGATTTTAAACGGGCAGTTTAAAATTTCCAAATGAATCCAGCAAAGCTTTATGACGGTTACCTTCCCATTCTCTTTCAACTAAAAGCATAAACACTAACCCCTGCTGACTTGAAATGCTAGTTATCTGTCCCAGACAGAAGTTTGACTGTTTGTTAAGCAACAATTCCTTTGGGACACCATCCCTCTCCCAGCCCATGTGCTCCCAGTGGACCTGCCAATCAAGATGCTTTGCCACAGTGGTTGACCACGATACTCTATCTACCAGCCAATTATACGTTCAAGAATGAGTATGTGACTCAAGCAGAATCAACCAAAATCTTCCTTGATATTTGATATATGGACACAGGAAAACAGAGGCTCTTTCTTCCTTTCCAATTGGAAGTCATAGTATACAATCTTGGGGATATTGGCAGTCATTTTTCTGATCAGTTTTCTGAAAATAAATCCATTGACTAGAGGAAATGCCCCGATAATATCCTACATGCCCCTGGATTTAACATTGTTTAAAGATATTTCTACCCCTAGAATTTTTCACTTAAATTAGAATAGATTCCCTTTTTAGCTTAAGCTTGTTTGTGTTGAGTTTCTGTCCCTTGGAACTGAAAAAATCCTGATAAATACAGAATCCAAAGGAAAAGGTAGCAGCAGTGGTACCAGTAAAATGGGTTAGCCTACAGGAATTTTCCAGGTCAAACACTACCGCCAAGAGTGTTGTATTTTAATGCTCTGATATAATGATTAAAATAGGCAAGCCTAATAGAACTTGGGAATCTTTATTCCTACATAGAGAATTCTCTGTTCAACTCATTTTAACAGTTTTTTCTGGAGTAAAATTTTACACTGAATCAATTGATCTATTCATGCCTAATAAAAAAAGCCACCTTAGTGTTTTCAAAGACTAGATTTATATAAATTCAATCCCAACACAAAGGATGAAAACTCAATTTTACTAGAACAAAGTATGTGGAAGGCATGCTGCTGTCTCCTCCCCCCACAACACACATACACACAAACATCATTTACCCGTCACAAAAGCTCTGCTATGTGGGTACTCTGGACTAGGAAAAGTAGACACAAGTCCAGCACTGACTTTTGGCAATACTGAAGTCCATGGATCTTAAAATCTGATGTGCTAGGCTAAACAACATCTCTGTTCCACAAACTTTCACCACTTGCCTCTTGATAAGATATAGAAAGAGGAAGAACATCCTGATAACCATTTGGAGCTATCAAATACAGGAAGAGGAGTTAAGAAAAAATTAATTTTATGGTAACCAGTTGGAACCAACCCATTGTCCCCGAGGTGACGTCTGTCTAGCAGAAGGGCTCTGTCACACAGCAAGTGAGGCTGGGCACACTGATATAAGCCCTGTTCCACTTTGATGGCCTTGAGCCACAAGTGGCCTCCGTAGCACGTGAGTTGGGCAGGCAGTGCAGGCCACGGAAGTCAGCAGGTGTTGAGGGCATGGCGCCACTTGGGCGGCAGGGCTGGGTCTCAGCACCCTGATATCCAGGGCCATCTGCAGAGGGGTAGTATCTATCTGTGGCAGACAACAGTGACAAGGGCCAAGAGCCAAGGAGAGCTTCCTTACAGCTCTATTCCCATTTTATAGATGACTAAATTAGGGCTCGTGAGGCTGCATACCCCATCCACAGTCACCCAGCTGGTAAGATGCCAAGAGAAGGATTTTTGTAGTCACTTTCTTCAGCTTGATAAAGAAAAAAAGAACTTGAATTCAAATCAAGGTCTGTTTGACAGAAGCCCTGATCTTTTGCATGCTGGTAAACATGGGATTATAAAAATTCCTCTCCAACCAACTTCCTGAATCAGCAGCAAGATCTAATTATAAAACAATTATTTTTTTTTTTTTTAAGATTTTATTTATTTTATTTTTTGCCCCCAAAGCCCCAGTAGATAGTTGTATGTCATAGCTGCACACCCTTCTAGTTGCTGTATGTGGGACTCGGCCCCAGGACGGACAGAGAAGTGGTGCCTCAATGCGCACCCGGGATCCGAACCCGGGCTGCCAGCATCGCAGCGCGCGCACTTAACCACCAAGCCACAGGGCCGGCCCTAAAACAATTATTAAAATAGAATCGCAGAGTCTTTGAGGTACTTAGAAGGTACTTCCTGAGATCTCACTGAATCAAAATATTGGGAAAGTACAGACAAAAGACTAGTTACTGTGAATTTGACCCTAAATCACTCAGCCAGTTCTAAGCCAGATCACAACCAATATCCTACAATCTCCTCTCCTTCAGAATGTTCTCTTCTCTTGCCTCCTTTTAAACTTTACAAATAATTCTTATTTTAATTCGTCATAAAAGTTCAGCATAACTATACTATACATTTAAACCTTGTTATGGCTGAAATGTGTCTCCCCAAGACTCATACGTTGAAGTCCTAACCCCCAGGACCTCAGACCGTGACTGTATTTGGAGGCAGCAACTCTAAAGAGGTGATTAAGTTAAATGAGGTCATATGAGTGGGCCTGAATCCAATATGACTGGTGTCCTTATAAGAAGAAGAGACACACACAGAAGGAAGACCATGTGAAGACACAGGGAAAAGAGAGCCACCTACACGCCAAGGAGAGAGGCCTCGGAACAAACCAACCCTGCCAACACTATGATCCCGGACTTCGAGCCTCCAGAATTGCAAGAAAATAAATTTCTGTCATTTCAGCCACGCAGTCCGTGGTACCTTGTTATGACAGCCCTAGCAAAGCAACACAAAGCTAATAGCACTTTATTTCATATTCATCCACACGTGATAAACTCTTTCTTAAACAAAATAAGCAAGGCCCAATGACCAAAAGAATCGAAAGTCATATTTACTGCGACAAATTTGTTGCTCAAGATACAAGCATAAAACGAAGAGACTCATATTAGTTTTCAAGTGCAGAATAAACTATTCTATTAAAATTAAAGTGAAGAAATCATGCACAATGGATGTTCATTAAAATTCATCCTTGAATAAAAAGTAGAAATAAAGATGAGGCCAGATTTCTCTTTAACTAATTGGGGAAAGTTTCACTGAAGAAACAGGATTTCAAAAGTAGCTTTGGAGCAGGCCGGCCCCGTGGCTTAGCGGTTGGGTGCGCGAGCTCCGCTACTGGCGGCCCGGGTTCGGATCCCGGGCGCGCACCGACGCACCGCTTCATCGGCCATGCTGAGGCGGCGTCCCACATACAGCAACTAGAAGGATGTGCAACTATGACATACAGCTATTTACTGGGGCTTTGGGGAAAAAAAAAAAGTAGCTTTGGAGCATTAAGGAAATATTTTGGACACAGAGAAGAAGGTTGAGACAGGAGGTGTGAGGAGGGTTCTAGATAGGACGAAGGTTGCAAATGATTAGAGAATGAGAACTGAAGAATATAGAACATTTCCTTAAAAAGGGCCAGAATCTCCTTGAGGATTCTGAAGGAATAAAAATGATCTAAACTCAAATAATCAAAAGATCCCCAAGATGTAGGAGAATTATCAACTGGAAACATCATGTTGCTACCTAGCTAAAAACAGAATCTATAGTGGTTTAGACTTTCCCCTCAAGGGACACATATATTGAATACGCTAGGCTTTAAATAGTATTGCCCCCAGTTTTATTATTCCAATAAGTTATGGCCTATTGTTCAGTTATCCTATTGTTTAGAATACAATTAAACATTCATAAACAGCTAAATCAAACTATTATGCAGGTCCACAAAGGAGGAGAAAACTCCCAATTACAAGTAAACTGGTTTTAGAATTTGCAATAAACAATACATTTTAACGTATTTTTCAAATGTACCTATTTGCTAGTTCCTTGCTTCAACTAACTTACAGAAAGTCTAGCAGGACCAAGAGAAACACATAATTAAATAAAAATAAATTAAACTGATGCCATTTACACAAATTAAATTAAACACGTAATGCAATGTGAAAAGAATCATGCAGGAAAAGGAGAGGGAGCTCCCACAGAATGGAAGCCACAGTGAGAGACAGCCCAGACTTCCTCCACGGTCACTAAATCTGGCTGAAAATAATCCAAAACTTGCAAACAAATCCCAAATGCAAAAAGAAACAAAAGAAATGTTTTGTGATTTTAAAAAATACTATTTTATGATTTATATTGGAAAGTGGCAGGGCAGTGGTTAAGAGCCTGGTTTCCAAACCCAGCCCCACTTCTTGCTAACTAGGCCCCTGGGCAAGTTATTCAGTTCCCTCATTTGTAAAAACAGGGATAATAATACTATATAGTACATAGATCTGTAATGAAAATTAACTGTTGATATTTCTAAAGGGCTTAGAACACTATGAAGCCCATAATACTCTATATATTTTGTTAAATTTAAAAAATGTGATTTATTCAGGTCCTCAATTTCCTAAGTGTTCAGCATAAAAGTTGCTAGAGAGGCCCGCCTGGTGGCGTAGTGGTTAAGTTTGCACACTCTGCTTCGGCGGCCCGGGGTTTGCAGGTTCCGATTCCAGGAGCGGACCTGCACACCGCTCATTAAGCCATGCTGTGGCGGCGTCCCACATACAAAATGGAGGAAGATTGGCACAGATGTTAGCTCAGGAACAATCTTCCTCAAGCAAAAAGAGGAAGATTGGCAACAGATGTTAGCTCAGGGCCAATCTTCCTCAACAACAACAACAAAAAAGTTACTAGAGACACAGAAACTCCCAAATGCTTAGGTAGCTTCCTCTGAAACAGAGTAAATTGGAGATAAAACAAAATCTCAACAGCCCATGTTATTGCTTTTCCCAGAAAGTGTTCCAAAATTTGGGAACTTGCAACAATCATTGATCTAACCTAAAAATGTTTTAAGATTTATAT